TTCACTGAGAATGACAATGGGGACATTGTCTGATTTTAAGTGTGGGGGAGTTTTACGTGCTTACGTGACTGTGTGGTGGATCAGGTCTAGTTTTTCCTTTTAGAATTGCTTTTATTTCTTTTCTGTTGCGTGGACCAATCTAGTTTAGGTTTATTTGTTCTTATGAAATGGACATTGGTGAATTTCGAGATTGGTTTATGGTTGTTTAATGAGGTTGGGAAGATGTGATGATTATCTTGAGTGGCATATTTTGATTTGTGGCTCGGTTGCTTTAATTAATACTCATACATATATACTCGGTGAGATTTGAGCCATATTCATTTCTTGTGAGATATTGGTCTGAATGTTGAATAAATCAGAACTTGCCTTGAGTCTGCTTTGAAATAAGTCGATTGGATTCATGATAGGTGAACATGATTGAGGCATTCTTTGTTATTTGTGTATCCTTTTTCTTCATTCAAGAATGATTTTCGCTAGTCACCCATTTGAGCCATAATTCTTATTTTCGTTGTTGACCCCATGTTGATGATGTGTGGAAATGGATGGTGATGATTGTCAAAATCATGAATTTCATTTGAAAAAAAAAAACGAACGGATTATACTCTAAGTGCTCCAACCGCTTACATTAGCGGTCTCGAGTAATGAGTACAGAAAACCGGTCTAGAAGACTCGGGCAGAAAACCAATGGCTAAACCTAGATAAAATGTCCATAAGGTTACCAAAAAAAATTATAATAATGTGGAAGCATGTTGGCTTTGGTGAAGGTTGGAGAAATCGGTTGAGACCGGAGGAGTTGTTGATTATGGTTGAATGTTTTAGTTGTGATGTTCTATATTTGAAATTTGACCTACATTTATCTTACCCGATCCATTAAGCCTGCATTACATCCCTAGAAGTCCTTTTGATTCTCTGTCTCATTGATTTGATTGATTTAGAGTAGGGGTCAGACGATAGGCAAGCATATGATTGATTGACTGACACCCAATTTGAGCTCTCCTGTCTTTTACTTTTGGAAGAAATTGAGTGAGGCATTTATATCATATCTCCGTACTCGAGAGTTTGTGTTATCAAGTGATTGTGTTCATTGTCAAGGTGTGTTCATTGTCAAGGTGTGTTCTTGTGGTCATCGGAATTCTTGTCAACTTAGTTGATCAGTTTGAGACTTTTCTTGTTTGAAACTGTTGTCCACTCTCGTTTGCTTGTTTTGTTTTCTTTTCTTTTCTTTTCTTTTTGTTCGGGACGAACAAATGTCTTAGTGTGGGGAAGTTGTTCGTTCCATTCTTGTCATGTTTTTCTTGTTTATTTTCCCCATCTTAGGTGTTTTTCTTTGGTTCTTGGTCCGTTTTGAGTCGTATCGTGCATTTCCCTTGTTTTATTTGTTTTTGGTATTTTTGTTCATTTTTCCCGGTTTTCCGTATTTTTCTCTTGGTGGTGATTTGCAGGATAGGTGACTCGGTGAGTGGCCATGCAAGGATTACTATCTAGATGGATGAGTTGGGTTCGAGTTGAAAAAGACGGGATTAAATTCCATAACCGGATGCATGTGTACGAGCCGAGGATATTGTTTTGTGCAACCTTCACCGCAGCCCGCGACATTTTCTTCGCCGCGGCCGCGGTGAACAAAAGTCGCAGAAGACCCCAGTTTCAGCTCAGGAGAAGTTGCGGCCTCGGGTTCAGTTGCAGCCGCGGGAGTTCTTCACCGCGGCCCGCCAGATGCTCCGCGCCCCACGGGGGCCGCGACGTGCAGAAATTAAAGAGCATATTTTGTAATCGATTTTCATTATGTTTTCACCTAGGTTTTGAGTTTTTTTCTTCGTACTTTCATTCCAGAATAGAACTTTCTCTTGTTTTATCATTGGGATTCCTCTTTGAGAGTGAAAAACTCTAAGTTTGTTATATTCGGATTCGTTTGCACTCAGATTTCAACGTTGAACCTTCGTATTAATCATAAGCTTTTATTTTCGTTTTATTCATGGATGTCACTGCTTTGTTCAATATGAATGTTTGTGTTGAGATCGGTATGAGTAACTAAATTCTCTAGCTAGGGTAGGGGATTGTCGTTCTGGTTCAATTTCGTTTTATATGCATATTAATTGCTCTATCTTTTCGAGTTGTGCTTAACCTAGGGTTTTAGATGCTTGATCACAATCTTAATCTATTTAATCAATTTTTGAACCGAAAGGGAAGAAATCGATCGATCTAGGATCGATAAGAATAAGCTTGTTCGTAATTTTATTGCTTATATGTTAATTGTTTCAAGAATTACTCGTTTATGTCTATCCTCTTGTTACGAAAAGTTATTGACGACAGATCTTTAAATGAGTAGTTTGTCGAGTCATTTGACCGAGCTCTTGATTGCTCGTTAAATGTATAGAGAACCAGAAGCGATTGTCCCCGATACCCTAGCCCTTTTATTAATATTTGAATTTGAATTGTGAATTGTTCGTTGGAATAGTTAGTTGCGTTTTTATATTTCTTAGTTATTAAAATCAAACCAAACCAATCTGATTAGAGTGTTAGGAATATTTTCTCTTTTGTGGTTGAATATACGCGCAATTTGATCTGGCCAACCTTCCTTGAGAGACGACCCGGTGTTTGAATCCTTTGATTTAACTCCAGTAAAAATACCTACAACACTTGCTTGTCTGCCTGCCCTGTCATCTCGAACTTGATATCTGTAATTATACTCAATGTAATACCCAGTCTGAGTCCCACATGTACTGCTCGAACTGAAATGTAAGTGCTGAACTGAAACGGCTGGCCGCTCAAACTCTTCAGCTGCTTATGAAATGGCACTAAGCCCGTGCTCGCGTCTTGCGTCTTCTCGAAAATGCCCGCGCGCACAACACTTGCTTAGTGCTTCATCGGTGATGAACGTTGAACAAGCTGCACCTCTACGCTTCTTAAGCTATCTCTCAACTATACCTCTCTACAGGTATCAAGGTAACCCTCAGTAATAAGAGGAACAAGGAAAACTATTTCTCTCGGCAATAAGAAAATACTCTCGGCAAAGCTAGGCTTTCACTACTCTCTCTCGGCTATGGAAAAGAAGGCAAAGATATTTCCAAGTGATGAAGTAAACTTTACTTCTCCAGTCAAGCTAGCTTCTTATAGTAAGGTGAAGAGGTAAAAAAATACAAGATTTAATCTTGTAAGGACACTTGTCCTTATGAGAGTAATTTGTGGCAAAACTCATGCCTAATCACCTTATGATGTGTCAAGATCTACGAGAATTTACTAATGAACATGCTTAACTCAGGTGCTTAACCGAATATATTTTCGACTTTGAAGTCGAACTTGAAACTTACTAACTGAGAGCATCCACAATGCATTGGGTCTAATTTTACATATGTGGCATATAAATAGACTTAAGTCCTAAATGACATGGACAAACCCAAGTAAAAAAAACTCAACTATTTAATGCAAGAATAAAATACTAGGTCTAGCATACATGCCAACCAATAAAAATGCTCGAATATGTTTCATTTATTAAAAGAAAATTTAAATAAGGAATAAATGATGAGTGCTTGGGTTTGTACTTGGGTCCAAAATAGACCCAAGTGTGGACTTGGTCTCTTTTTTTATTGCCACATAAGGTTGACCATGTTCATCTTTAATTGCATTGGAGGACATTTTTTAATAGACTAAGTCTATTTCCTATGTGGCATAAGATATTTTATTAAGAGACCCAATGCATTGTGGGTGCTCTGAATAACTTAGACTCGGAACTATCATCGAGTATTTATTAATAAAGACTAGTTTATACTCGGAAGCTAATATCTTTCCTTTATTAATAAAAGGCGGGCGTTATAGGTGGTGCACCTGGTTGAGACTTGGATCTAGGGGTTGGGTCTTGTTAGGCTTCTACTGCAGTTTCAGGCTTGGCGTTCCGGATCGGGTTTTAGTCCGTCGGGTGGTGGCTCTTGGCGGGTGGTTGCGTGGCGATTTGCAGTGTTGCTTATCGGCGGCAGAGGAGGACTTCAGTTTAGTTTTTCTTTTTTAGGTTTGTTTAGGTCCGTTTTGTGTTGGTCTGTGCGTTTGTAGTTGTCTGTGTTTTTTGTTTGTTTTTGTATTGTTTGTTATTCTCCTGTGAGGAGTTCTTATCATTCTCCTGTGGGGAACTGGTGTATTCTCCCGCGGGGAGCTTTCTATTTTTTATTGTTCGTTAGTGTGCTTTGTATTATCTAGGCTGCCTTGTGTAGCCCATCTATTCCGACTAGTGAGCCGATTGTAATTATGTGTGTTCCGTTCTGAAAAAACAAAAACAAAAAAAAAATAAAAGAAGAAAAGAAAATGACTTCTCTTTCTTTACTTGTGCTCTCATAATATTGTTTGTGAATTAGTGATTCTATAAATAAATGGTGGATTTCTCTTTTTCTTCATTTCATAATATTGTTTCTGAAATAGTAATTCTTGAGATCAAATTCCAGCTTTATTTTGCACATAACTATCATTACCGGGACTTAAAATCTCCGGGTACTTATTTGTCAAGTACAGTTACAGTTGTCACACTGATAAACTCCTATCATAATGTGTAAGGCAAACCGTGAAATTCATGCAAGCAAGCCAAGGCAATATTGTCCCAGTCTTCAACAAGTTCAAAATGGTAGTACAAGCATGAGAAGAACACACTTATTAAACAGGGTACAAACATATTGGAACAAAATGAATGATGACATCCTTTGTACAGTAAATGAATCAAATGTATCCATGAAAAAATAATTCAAGCAAAAACATATTATAAGCTTGCTGTGTAAAAAAAACATCTTATTGTGTCCCAAGACAAGAGAAAAGGGGACTTCAGATGGGATGGGATCCCCCTAACCGGCAAACATTAGTATCATTGACCCACACAGCACATATAAAACAGAAGGGAGAGTGAAAATTGGTCGCCCTATAAAATTTACTTCTCGGATTCAGCATAATAGCCAAGAGCTAATTTATTTTCGCAACTGAAACAAAAGACAAAATCAATAATGAAAACTGTTGGATGTATAAATTTAAGCAGCAGATTCTTTGGCAATCTTCTCGGCCTTGGCAATGACCTCATCAATACCTCCAACCATGTAAAACGACTGCTCTGGAAGATCATCATATTTCCCGTCCAAGACTCCCTATTGTAAAATAGACGAGTAATTCATGAGTTTTAATTACCCGAGTGGAAACACTATGCAGCAGACAACAAAATATTAAGGTTATCTATGGATACTAAAGTTGAATACTTAGCAGAAATGAAGAAATCCCTAAACACGTGTGTAGGTTTTTCCAAAATGACGAAAAAAAACTGTTATTTTATAATTACACCAAATAGAAGGGCCAACTCGAAAACAAATAGTCAAATAAAAGAATTTGTAATATCTCATGAGGATCCCCTATGAAACTAAAGGATAGCTTTCTTAACTATACTAAATCAGATTAGCTTTCTACTGAAGAAATAAAACGATAATCAGAAATTATTATCAATCAGGCCAAGAAATTTGAAAGCAGGATTTCTCTACACCCTCTATGAGCATCTTCAATGGAGCTATGGTTTGCTGATTGCTCATTTCTCACGCTACATTGTTTTACACTCTTATTTTCACTCTTCTCCGATCAATCATTATTTTCCACGTATCATATTAGCTCCACAGTCCAAATCAACCATTTAAGATTAACTTTATATATATATTTATATAAATCTCCACAATGTCCATTGTACCGTTGGAGACACTCTAAAGGAGTGTTATAACTTTGGACATAATGCTTTCAAGTAATTTGGCAAAAAGAAAAAAGCAAAAAAGAACATTAACCTGAAGAAAAGGAAAAAAAGCAAAAACTACTCAACTTCAAATAATCATTCAATGACATCATATATAAATATGATACTCGCACTTGCTTTAAATGTATAAATAACATCATACCTGGAAGCTGTTAATACTCTCCTTCAACTCAACATACTTCCCAGGTGCACCCGTGAAAACTTCTGCAACATGGAAAGGCTGGCTAAGGAAACGCTGGATTTTTCGAGCACGGGCAACTGTCAATTTGTCGTCTTCACTTAGCTCGTCCATTCCTAGAATGGCAATAATATCCTGAAGATTCTTGTAGTTCTGAAGAACCTTCTGCACACCTCGGGCAGTGTTGTAGTGGCCCTCTCCCAGGATATGAGGTGAAAGCATGCGGGAAGTTGAGTCCAGCGGGTCCACGGCAGGATATATACCAAGCTCAGAAATCTGTAACATAACAATAAATACCAAAAAATATGGTTCATTACAACATTTACATACAACGAATACGAAAATAAAACATTATTGTATGTGTATTATGTGAACTAAAACAATAATGGGTCAGTATACGAGACTCAGCTACATTTCAAAATCAAGTATAAGAGGTCAGTAATGATTTACCAAATTAACCATTATTGAGAGTGCAATTGGTAAATTAGTAACTTATATCAAAAGAGGTATTCATGTTTTTGAAAGATTGTGGGGTTTATTGTAGCTAAACGAAATCTTTAGGAGTATTTGTCAAAGTTAACGAAAGAAAGTATATACATATACTATAACCTGTCTAGATAACACAGTTGTAGCATCCAAGTGAGCAAATGTAGTAGCAGGAGCAGGATCGGTCAAGTCATCAGCAGGCACATATATGGCTTGGACAGATGTAATAGAACCCTTCTTAGTCGTAGTAATACGCTCTTGAAGGCCTCCAAGATCTGTAGCCAGTGTAGGTTGATATCCGACGGCCGAGGGAATACGTCCAAGCAAAGCAGACACTTCTGAGTTAGCCTGCAAAAATGCAAACAAAAAGGCATAAGATTACCAATATGTGAGCCAATCACAGGAATAAACAAAAATAGTTGCATTGAAGTGAAAAGCCTACTTGGGTAAAACGGAAAATGTTGTCAATGAAGAGAAGCACGTCCTGTCCTTCTGCATCACGGAAGTGTTCGGCCACGGTCAATCCAGTGAGTCCAACACGAGCACGAGCACCCGGGGGCTCGTTCATCTGACCATAGACTAGGGCGCATTTGCTATCAGCCTGACAGTCAGTAAGAAGTATTAATCGTGGATGTAAGGTAAAATCATAATAATAATCTTCACTATTAAATTTTATGAAATGACCTGCTTATCTCCTAGCTTGATGACACCACTTTCAATCATTTCTCTGTATAAATCGTTACCCTCACGTGTACGTTCTCCTACGCCGGCAAAGACAGAGAAACCACCTGACAAAAGAAAATAAAAAGCAATGAGATCTCAGAAGGCTGAGCACAATGAAGATTGATGAATGAAGCATCAGAAAATAACACAACCATGGGCTTTTGCAACATTGTTGATCAGTTCCATAATAAGTACAGTCTTTCCAACACCAGCACCACCAAAAAGACCAATCTTTCCTCCTCTCTGGTAAGGTGCCAGAAGGTCGACAACCTGCCAGATGAAGAGAAAAAAGAATAAAAACCCAAATGTAGAAACTGAGTGGTCACGAGAGCAATGAGCAAGATGTTAGTACATGATGACAAGAATCCTCCAAAAGAACAAGTGAGGTAGTACCTTGATACCAGTGACAAGAATTTGTTGTTCTGTAGCTTGCTCCACAAAGGCTGGAGCTTCACGATGGATGGGTAAAAAGTGTTCAGTCTCTGCAACGCCATTCATTTATTAGCAAAACTGTAACTGACCTCCAATCACTAAAGATTGTTGTCAATGATTCAAGAAAATACTACTTACTAATATCGCCTTTCTCATCTATAGGCTCCCCAATCACATTGATAATGCGACCTAAAGTGGCTCTACCAACAGGCACCTATAAGTAAAACAGCAGAATCAAGACCAACCAGACAAAACTTTTTGGAATGATAAATCATAATCGAAGTCAAAAATGCCTAAGGGACTGAGAAGTGAAATCAACGGCAATCATAATCCAAGTATGATCAACCTTTGAACCCCAAATGACACTTGCACAGTCATAAAAAATAAGTAAAATATAACAAAGGACCTATAAGCATGGAGTACAAAGGGTTTACATCAATGAAACATAAAACACCTAAATGAGAACCTTTAATGTCAGCCATAGTGAATCCAATCTCCAAGTCGATATTCACAATTGAATAAGCAACACCAATCCAAGAATTCGATATCAGAAAAATAAATAATGGCAGATCTAGGCCTTCAACATAGGCTTTCTGAAACCAAATCGAAGAAAAAGTGAAAAACTAATTAAATCACACTCACAGTAATCGGCGAACCAGTGTTCAGTACGCGCTGGCCTCTAACCAGCCCTTCAGTACCATCCATAGCAATACACCTCACCACATTTTCGCCCAAGTGCTGGGCGACCTCCAGAACAAGCCTGATTTGATTATCCAAAACCTCCAGCGCCGTCAAAATCGGGGGCAAACCCTCGTCGAACCTCACATCGACAACGGCACCTATAACCTGGCAGACCTTCCCGATCGCACCTTGACCGGTAAACTCATCTGTAATTTTGCCACCGATACCGCCGCTAGTCCCAGCCTTGAAGGGCGGAGGTGCCGCCGCAGCTGCTGATGTGGCGTAGTGCGAAGCGAAGCGATGAAGAACATGCCCGGTTGGAGACGGCCGGGGACTGGGCTTCGGAGCTGAACCAAATGGAGATCTACAGCGACGGGCGGCGGATGATCGGAGAAATGAGGCTAGGAGCCTCCGAGAGGCCATGGCTGATGAGTAGATTTGGTATTTCAGTGACAGAGCGAGAGTGAGAGGAATAAAATGGTGAAATAGGAAATATCGAATAACATATTAACATTGACTAAAAATAGTAGAAAAAAATAAGAAAAAGTTTAATGTAACCATAAATAATACTAAGATTTTTTTTTTTTTTTTTATTTCAATTAAGATCTATTAAAGTATGTATTTTTTTTATTTTTATTTTTTGAAACAATATTAAAATCACAATCTCTATATTTGTAATATTTCAATTCAACAGTATAAAAGTTTTAAAATATCGGTTTTTATATTTGTGTCTTCCAAAAAAATATTGAACGCTATTCTCTAAATATCATTTTTCACTAAACATCTCAATTTATTTATTTGGAACGTGTGATAATACTTGGTAATGTTTATCAATTATTTGTTACTAATTTATTTTTTTTCAAACTCGATTTCAAAAGGTAAAATAATTTTCAAATTCTTAGTCTCAATAGTTGTTCATTTCAAATAAAAATATATATAATATATATATATATTTGATAATATATTATTTGTTAATAGTACACGGATCTCAAAATTAAAAACTCACGTGGATTCTAAAATTCAAACATATACTTACTTTTATCTTTTAGAAATTGAATAATATATTGTAGGCAAGATTTTTTGAATAGATTTAGACATATTTTCTTTACAGAATAGTTTAGAAAAATTTAAGTGTTAGTATTTTAAATATATATTTTTTTGTGTTATTTTATATAAGATAATGTTATATTATTTACAGATTACGATAAGTTATGTCACATATTAACTCCACATCATAATTTATAATTATTAGTTAATATTGTTTGCCCTTATATTTAATTTGTAATTATTAGTTACTATTGTTTACCATCATCTTTAATTTATAATTATTATTTAATATTTTCACCCGTGCATCGCACGGGCTATGCACTAGGTAAGGTGATAGGGCTTTTGTGAAATGGAGTTGTTTTTTTATAACAAAACGAAGGTTTTGAATACCGAACTGGTCATCGAATCGGTGAAGCTACCGGTTCAATGGTTCATTGGTCGAACCAGTGGTCGAACTGATCGATCCGATTTAATTAGTATATATTTTGTATTTATTTTGTATATGTAATATAATTGTATATATTTTTTTATATTGTATAATGATATTTGCCTAAATAATTAACAGAAAAAATAAATACAGAATTGTGCATAATGACATTGTGCATAATTATAGTAGGATCAAGGTTTTAAACCTAAGAGCAGGCCACAGCCAAATTCAGAAATTCTCAAAGTGAGTGATCTGATTGATGTGACTGGAAGAAACTGGAAGATGAACATACTTCAAGACATTTTTACTGAGCAGGAGCAAGCAGCAATTCTCAAAATCAAAAGTCTTAACCCAGGGGAAGAGGACAGACTAGTGTGGCAGTGTGGGAAGAAGGGAAAATACTCAGTGGCAACTTCATATAAATACCTGGTAAAGGAGAAATGGAAGCAACTAGATATAGCAGAATCAAGCAAGGGGCAAGCTGAGGTTTTGGGAATGAGAAGCAGATTGTGGAAGCTGAAGATTGAAGGAAAGATCAAACACTTTCTCTGGAAGTGTGTTAATAACATTCTGTCAGTCAACACATGCCTTGCTAAGAGAGGAGTGCCCATTGATACCAGATGCCAAGTATGTGGGGAAGAAGAAGAAACTTCCAACATCTTTTCTTTACTTGCCCCAAAGCTGCCAAGATTTGGGAGCTTGCACCTATTCACTGAAATGGTTTGAGTCTTCATGCAGATAGTTTTTCTCACTAGTGGACAAAGCTATGTTCACTCCCCCTGACAGCAAACAATGAAGCAAGGATCCAGCTTACAGCCTACTTGGTTTGGTGGGTTAGGAAAGCTAGGAACTTGTGGGTTTTCCACAGTTTGTGGAGAGCTGAGATTGCTGTGAATATAGCTTTGGAGGAGTGGTTGGAATTCAATAAAGTGCAAGGTCTAGGGTGCTGATTTGGCTGGGCTGCTTTTGCTATGGAATTTGGCAGATTTTAGTCTTGTTGGTTTTTGTTGTAGGTTGGGCAGGTTTATTTTTAGATTCGTTGTATAGTTGTTAGCAGTTTGTTGTCTCCTTTTGGATGCTAGGCTTCTTGGTTTGTGGTAGTTCAACTTGACTAGGGTGTGAGCCACTGTTCAGGTTGCTTTTTGTGTTTTTTATAGCTAGAGCATTTTCTTGGGTCCTAAGTTTGTATTAGCCAAGGAATATGGTCCTAGCTATAGGTTGTTTTCCTTTTTTAGAACAGGTTGTTCTCTCTTCCAACCTTTTGGTTGTGTATTGGGCTATTTAGCCTCACCTCATGTACAAATGTTTGGAGCTATAAATCCTATCGTTTTGGAAAAAAACAAAAAAAAAAAGACATTGTGCATATAACAAAATGCCTTACTGTTGTATAAGTTATAATGAATAAGTTTACACTTAGAAATTAGGGTTAATTGCTAAATAAACCTTAACCTTTTGCATTTGGCAATTTTATCTCAATCTTTGGGTAATTGCAATATAATCTCCACCTCAATTTACTTATTGCAAGTCGAACCTAAAACCGGTTGGACCTTAAAAAAACTGGTCGATTTGAAGGCGGTTCGAACATATCGGAGCTCATATTTAACGGTTCACTCCAGATATAGGAGGAGACTCACCACCGGTAGCTTACATTGACGTGGAATTTTCGGCTTTGTGCGTGGAAATACATTAAATATGTGGAAATTGTCAACTTCCTACGTGGATGGCATAAAAATACGTGTCAATGGAAGACTTGGACATAAAATCGACCCACAAATCCTTAAAATCAATCACTCTGCACCCAAATTGCAATAAGTAAATTGAGGTCAAGATTATATTGCAATTACCCAAAGATTGTGATAAAATTGCCAAACGCAAAAAGGTTAAGATTTATTTAGCAATTAACTCTAGAAATTATAATATATTCTAATTATTCCAATGTGGGCTTATAAGTTATAATGAATAGGTTTTAATTTTTCAACAAGGCAACAGGAGTCCAACTCCTAGCAATAAGATTTCAGGCTTTTATTTCCAACAATAAACCAAAAAGGCCTAATAACGCTAAAGGCCCAATAATTTCCAGCAAGTGAACTCCTGGAACTCCCACATCGGAGACACTTCAAAGTTAATTCAGTTATTTTAATGAGTGCGCAACTGTCAGCTCACACAAGAAGCAAAGGGACTGTTAGGCCGTACAAACAGTTTTTGGTTTAACGGTTTTACCGGTTTTTTACTGGTTCAAACAGTTTAATACCGGTTTTCACTCAAAACGGTTCCATACCTCAAACCGGACTGATGTATGGGCCGATTGCCGATCGAACCGGTCAGTCTGGTCCGATTTTAATAACCTTGAACAAGAAAACACCCTAGAAGGGTGGCGGTTGGTCAGACCCTCAACTTGTATATAAGACCCTAAATGGGCTGAAATGTCACTAGTCTACACGTTTAATGCCTGATATACATCAAGTCAAACGAAAACAAAAACAAAAGCAAGAAAATGAGCAAGAAATGGCTGACACAGCAGCAAGTTACACAAAATATCGGATCCTGGTCCGAGAATGGTCAAGTCGAAGTCAGCATCACGGGAGAGCAGATGCACCAAAAGTGGGGTCGGCTACACAATACTGAATGAAGGGTATCCCATCTAGTCCATCAGTATAAGGGTACGGAGGCGAATCGACAAGATAGAGAATGCGCCTCTTGGGTGGAGGACCCGATGCCAACAAGGAAGTCAGCAGGTCGGTTATCCTCGCAGAAGATGTGCAATATCTAAAAGCGAATCGACCGAAGTGTGGCTCTAATACGCATGAAAGGATGTTGAATCTTCCACGTGCCCTGAAGACCGATCCAAATGTTAGAGGAGATTGAGGCAACAATCTGAAGACCGATCTGAAGTGCTTGAACCTCCGCATCATAACTCGAAAAGGCCCGAAGAGGGGCATAGAAAGCAGTAATAAGAGCACCGATATGGTCCCTAATGAAGCCCCCACCTCCGGCGGCTCTGGTAAGCCGGTCAAAAGGTCCATCAGTGTTTAGCTTAACCCAAGGAGGCTCGGGTCTCAGCCAAACAACAGCTCTGGAGCGTGGATGATGGACAAGCGGCAGTGGAGTTGGTGCAAAGCAATGAGGTGGCGTGCAACCTGTCCAGTCTTTCGGCGTGAGTCTTCCCAGAGTGGTGAGGAGAGATAAATGTCTGTCATAATATAGAAAACACAAAAAATAAATATTCCTTTCTGTCTAGATGGACCAATAGGATCAAACAAGGAATAAAGAAGTTCACGTGCCTATCGTGCGCGCTCTGTGTGAAAAAACTCATAATCTCAAAGAAGTTATCTATGGTGGGTAAGGGTATATGGGTGTAACTGGAATATGTTCCAACACTCTCCTCACAGTCTAGCTCTCAAGAAACAAATGGGTAAAGGTCTCAGTTTGAAAATCGCCGGTCTCAGCACAACAATAGCAACGTAAGGGGAATGAGAACCCCATCGCCTACATCACAGTAGAAAAAAGCGCCACAGGAAAACAGAGATGATCAGGGTAAGTAGGTCGATCCAGATGGCCCCGAAGAGAAGGTTAGGCCGGTCACCCAGCTGTACTTTCTCCCAAGCCGAGGTCGTAGAGAATGCAACCGAAGATGTAAGTCTCCACCTTATACTGTCCAAACTGTCCTCCGAGATGGGTATCTGATGGATCTGATCTAACACCAGGTCACTAAAACCAGCTATATTACTCAGAATCCTTTTTAACCTATCCATATCCCATCCCCCCTCTATCCACAGGTCCTTCACCTGCAGAAAGGGAAGGTGGGTGACATGTCTAGTGCTCGAAAAGGAACCTTTACCAACCCACCACTCATCCCAAAAGCTAATGTCCCCCTCATTCAGAGTCCAAAATATGTGCTTCTGAGCATGTCTACCAACCATGGTGAGCCGTCTCCACTGTCTGCTATCGC